TGACACTTCTATTCTAATAGCTTCTTTTCTCGCACCTCACGCATGTGGAGCTCCTTCCTAATTTCTTGCTTCTCTGCCATCTACAATCTTCAAAGTTTTAAATGCAGCGTCAACCATCATCTCCTGTCTTGCAACCGTTCTTTTATTGTCCTTTTTTTCAACTAAAGTCATCTCGTTCTCTTGCACACCCACTGACCCCTTGCGCCAAAGTCGCATTATCGCCTTACTTGGAGTGAAATGATTATAAAAACCCAAAACATTTTGGCCATCGTAAAGATGGCCAAAATGTTTTGAGTTAGATTTTCTCATAAGAAAACAAGTACTTTTAAGTTAATTATTTTAGTTAGTGGATTTTAAACAAACATGTATTGATGAAGGATTGTTGCCTGTATGCATATGCGCGTGATCTTTATAAGGAATTATATCATCAAAGCTTCTAAAAGATGTATCATAAGTATGCAGCTGATGACCAGACAAGAAGCCTTTGAGAGAAAAAAATGGCTTCCATGAAGTCTGATGTAACTTCAACGACCTTTACGGAAACGACGAAACTCTCAAACGAGTTAATGCTTAATGCCGAGACACAGCGTTAACAATAAGAGACTATTGAAATGCTATCAGCATCAGTACACCAAGCGACGGGGAAGGTGAGATGTTATATATTCAGTAATTGTATGAGGAAGTCTTTTTATGAGGCGACAAATTATCCCAGTCACCGCCGACTTAGGAGTGAGATAAACATAAAAAAATATCTCAATGTGTAAGTTAATCTTTATTGTCTGGTTCTATTTTCACGGAGAGAGAACAAGGGAGAAGTGACGAGATTTCCCCCTTTCTTTTTTTTTTTTCTGGATGAAAGCACTGATTTGCAACCTGGCGTCTAATTCTAAACGCTCTTTATACGTGTCAATCAATAAAACCATAGGCAGACGATATTTTTGTCCCAAGGGTGGAGATACGGCTCAACTAGTGAAAAATTTGTTCTTTTATCAATTTACCCAAGAGAAGAAGTCTGGATGCCGGCCGTTAATTCTTGACCGACCTTCATAATCTAATGCCGCGTGAAAACAAAAGATAATGTTGTTTAATAGGCTCTAATGCATTTATTTCGAGGCGGTTTCAAGAGAAAAAAGGATATCAAAGAGATACCATTCCTGTCTAAGCGTACCTTAGAAAAAGAACTAAGTCTGGTCTAAGGCTATTTTAACAGAACACGGATGTTGACAAAATGTATCTGTTGTTTTTCTTGCTGCACATAAAATGTGAGCTAAATTCGATTGTTACGTAACTTTCACTTACATTATAATAATGAAAATAATCGTTTCCATAGCGTAATGTCATCATCACAATGTTAATGTGAGTAAGTGTTGTTCCTGGCCTGCATCCCGGCCGTTCTTTGGTTATGATCCAAGTCGAGATTCCCAACCTCCCCAGTTTGTTTTGACCCCTCCCTTTCATCTCGACTGGGTCAGTTTTATAATTTCCCATTCCAGCCTAATATTTTATACTTTTTCCCACTCCCTAAGCGAGAGGGTCTCTTGATTTTGTCCCCTGGGCAGAATACAGCGGTCTCTCTGTTTTATGGGTTGGACGGTCCCTACTAACATCAATTATGTTTGGTTTGTATTTGTGTTTATTTTAAGTTTATTATTGGGTTCATTTCCCTCCCCTCTCATTTTATCATTATTAGAATTGTATATATGTATCATCATTAAAATTTTTATGGCATGGGGCGCGATTTTGGTAGGTCTCCCTTGAGAGCACGTGGTATTATGGTGGTTGAAGGCTGGTTTGGTGATGGACGAGTTCTTTTGGTGAATGAGTAAAATGTAATGTACGAATGGGTCGCGAATCTGATTAGCTAGGTATAAGATAGTTAGTGTTGACCAGCCTCTACCCCTCCCCTTTATTGGTCTCGTGCCACAATTTGTACTTTTGGTACGAATAAATATCAGTCTTGCTTGAGGCCGGAATCCATATCCCTGACCTTTTGTCCTGTGGCTGGTGATCTTGACAGATATCCGAAACATGTTACGAGTTTAAACGAAGAAGGCATCCGGCGAGTGATATCTTTGCATTTCCTTGCGAATGTGCAACGCTATGGGTGGGGGTATAGTAATGGCGATGCTAAGAATAACCGTTTCCATACAAGAAATATTAGGCATTCGTTGACCAAACAATTTTAACTTTTAAGGTGTTATGGTGAATGGGCGGGTGTGTAGAAGGGAAGTGGAGATCATGGGGATAATAAGGATAAATAACGTTTTACTTTTGTCTTGAAGAGATTAAGATTGTAGTTTCAGGGAAGTATCACCGCGGGAATCTGTTTCAAAAAGTGGCCTTTCTTGGAGGAAAAGCTGTCTTAATGAAACGTTCTTCTTTCCAAAAAAAAAAAAAAAAAAAAAACCCGGGAACTGCAGAAGGGCCGTAATCATTCAGGTCCTGAAGGGACACGAGTTATGACGTAATATCATCAACACGAAAATGAATTTTTCAAAATTCATTCAAATTAAGGCAATTTATAATCACCGAACACAACTAGTCTTGCTTGAAGTCGGAATCCATATCCCTGTCCTATCTCCTATCGTTGGTGATCTTGACAAATATCCGAAGTATGTTACGAGTTTAAACGAAGTATCTGTCTATATTTCTGACATGAGGTATTATGTACACTATTTACATTATTCGGACTATTGTCCTCATCTTTGTCGCCATATTTATTATAACGTTTCGGCCTTTCAGTATCTGTCTATATTTCTGAGATGAGGTATTATGTACACTATTTACATTATTCGGACTATTGTCCTCATCTTTGTTGCCATATTTATTACAACGTTTTGGCCTTTCAGTATCTGTCTATATTTCTGAGATGAGGTATTATGTACACTATTTACATTATTCGGACTATTGTCCTCATCTTTGTTGCCATATTTATTACAACGTTTCGGCCTTTCAGTATCTGTCTATATTTCTGAGATGAGGTATTATGTACACTATTTACATTATTCGGACTATTGTCCTCATCTTTGTTGCCATATTTATTACAACGTTTTGGCCGTTGTACGCTCCGATCTTCTTCAGATGTTTGGAATGTCGAATTGAAACTTAGAATGAATACATATTCGATTCATACGAACCTATCCTAAAAATCTTGTCGGCATTAAATAACCCATTGATGTGTTGATATGCTGGCCGTAAAACAAAATAAACCAAACCCAAATTTGTTAGTTTTATATCACTTCCTTTCAGGATTTAACTTGAACAAGAAAAAAGAAGAGATGCGTTTACTTTTTTCGAATGAGTACAAGATTTGTTATAATGCTTCTCAAATTAGTTATGGTAATGAGAATAACCTTTTCCATGCAGGAAATATTAGACATTCATTAACCGAACATCGTTTCTATTGGTTGAAATTTATAAAATCTTTCTCTTAAAATTTGCAAGAAAATAGAATTCTCAATTCCACTAACTGTTATTGCTCTTTCTAGTACTTGTATTTGATAAAGAAATAATTTATGCTACGTGCTACCTATTGAGGTCGTGTGCCGTGGATTCCTTGGGCAGTCAATTGTTTCCTTTCTTTTGAAGATGGGCGAAGATGACCGGAACCGAAAGCGTGATTCACATCGTCTCCAGACCACAGCTCAAAAGGCATCGAGTTGGATCTGGTCAGGATCCCAAATAAGTAAAATTAAATAAAACAATGCTGTACATAAAATGAGCAACACGATGCTACTTCCGACGTGAAACACATCTGTTTACCTTTCATTCTACTGAACGCGTGGTGCATTTTAACAAAAACGTTGAAAATTCCAGTTGCAGTGTAAAAGAAATCGCAAGAGACTGACACGTATACAAAAACAATACACTGTCCAGTGGCAAAAGCTACTGGTGGCGCCAGGGGTGGCAGTACCTCCTTTTCAACCGTGTTATTTCGCCTGATTGGCGGCTGACGAGGGTAGGGTAGGGTTTCGAACTTGCTTTCACACGTTGTATGTAGAGAACTGAATAGGTGATAAATAAATAGTTTATTTAAATTTGATGAATGAATATGAAAAATATATTTAAATGTGCTGATGAATAAAATAAATTAAAAATAAATTAACTTGTGTAAATGTGAGGTTATTTCCCCTTCGATATGGTAGTCACGTGATGCGTCAGTCTGTGATCAGAGACAGATTTTGAAAAAAAAAATTCTACTGCTCCATTCCTCGTGGGATGTATAACAACGACAATAATGCGACTAAACGCTAAGGAAAGACCTATTTTCGACGACTTGCTTAGCAGAGTATTAAGGGACGTTATAATGAAGGATTTATCAGTGACTTCACGTTGCTATCGAATGTGCCACAAGGTCGATATTTAAAGTGAGTTTACAGGCAATAACGTGAAATTGTTCAAGCCTCCTTGGCATTTTTCCTTTTTTTTGTGGGTGGTAGGTGACGTCTTAGACTCCGTGTCAAAAGTTAAAAGAGTAACATGGATAAATAGATAAAAATACTCGTTTTCCTCTAAGTTTTGAACAATTTAAATCGATATAAATATTTTTTAAATAAATTCAGTCTTAAAAATATAAATGCAATGTTAATCGTCATATTCTGTCTCCTTGAATTCTGGTCTTGAAATGCTCTCTTTCTCTCTCTTTCTTTCTCTCTCTCTCTCTCTCTCTCACTCACTCTCTCTTTCTCTCTCGTTCTCTTTCTCTGTCCTCAAAGTTATATCAGAGTTTTTATTTCACTATAAGTAACGCATTGTGCCTTAGTGGCTTTAAACCCTTGATTGGGATAGAAATGATTAAAAAAAGTAAGACGATAAAAAGTTTTTTCTTATTTAGATTGTTGCAAGAAAGGTTTATTTCTAAGCTTACAGCTATATCTCGTTGAAACAGCAGTTCTCGCACGATCACTGAAGTTAAGAAACGTCAAGCCTGGTCAGTATCTAGATGGGTAACTTCTTAGGAATACCAGGTGCTGTAAGCTTGTATGTGCGGATTGTAAGGCTTACGGCCATATCACGTTGAAACACCAGTTCTCGGACGATCACCAAAGTTAAGCAACGTTAAGTCTGGTCAGTATCTAGATGAGTAACTGCTTGGCAATACCAGGTGCTGTAAGCTTGTATGTGCGAATTGTAAGGCTTACGGCCAAATCACTTTGAAACACCAGTTCTCGGACGATCACCAAAGTTAAGCAACGTTAAGTCTGGTCAGTATCTAGATGGGTAACTGCTTGGCAATACCAGGTGCTGTAAGCTTGTATGTGCGAATTGTAAGGCTTACGGCTATATCACGTTGAAAAACCTGCTCTCGCACGATCACCGAAGTTAAGCAACGTTGAGGGTGGTCAGTACCTAGATAGGTGACCGATTAGGAATACGAGGTACTATAAGCTTGGAGATGCGTGTGGTGTAATGAATTTATGTTAATAATAAGTTGATTTTTTTTTCTTATCGGTAGCACAAGTGTTAGTTTCATTTACGACGAAATCATCAGATGTTGAATGACTACAACACCCAATTTTCAGTCATCTCCTGACGGTTTTGCAGTAGATAATTTGATTTTTTTTTTTGTTCGGGTCAATTGGGGTACTTTATTTGTTCATGATATTTCTAAGTGAACATTCATCTTGTTTTTAGTTGATGTGCATTTGGTTTTTGAAGAAAATATTCACGTTTTTTTACTGTATATTCACTACCTTAATTGACCCGAACAAAATAATCAAATTATCTACAACAAAAAAATTAAAACAGCTAACCTTATCCTCAAAAATAGCCACACCCTAGCAAAATCAAAATTAAAACGAACAAAGGTTATCTATGAGTTCAAATGCCTCTTAAGGAACAGTTTTCCTGATCAAACCGAATTCATAAATAATTACATCACTCATACAACTACCTACCTATCCAAACACCTTACGTTACACCTATCCGACCACGGCTCCATTAGAACCCATTTAAGCACACACACAAACACTACCAGACTCCATTCAAAACATGCTAGTAGAAAATACAAACATAATAACCACATCCACATGTAAAAAAGATTTAATATTAAAAAAGAAAAAAAGCTAAAACTCAATAGTATTAACTACGAACACGGCCACAATGTGCTGACAGTGTTCGGAAAATAAAATATTCCTATAACTCTAGAAACCCAATTAAAAAGCAAAAATAAAATCATTCTCGATAATGGCTAAAAGTATAGCCGAACGCACTCGGAACTACTAGACATTTGGACAATTTCTTCACAGTCTCTTCCAGAAAAGAAAATACTTGTTCGAACAAAAGAAAAATTAAATAAAAAGGTTAATCGCGGTACCTTGTCTATCGTCTTTAATGAAACATGTATAAATGAAGGATTGCTGCCTAAATACACACACACACAAAACACACACACACACACACACACACACACATATATATATATATATATATATATATATATATATATATATATATATATATATGTTTGGTTTGTAACATACAGCAAAATTGTCCAATTGTTAGATTAAGTTTTGAACCATTGTATCTTAGAAATGATTAAAGATATCTTACTGGAATTTTTTCGAGGTTTTTATAACACTATTGGACTCCACTTTGAACAATACGAAGTTTAAATGATGATCCCTCTTGCTGTTGTAACATTTTGATCCAATTTTTATTTCTACTTTTCCCTCTTTTTTAAACTTATTCGCTGTTTCTTGATGTTTCTCGAATGGAGTTTGAAGATGGAAGTTTTATAAAGGTTATACCATTACTGACGGCCTGAATCTTTTTTTTTCCTCTCAACATAGAATTGGGGAAAGATGGGGCTGACACAAAACGATTTTAATTTGTTCTCTTTCTAGCTGAATAACTCAAAGGGGTTTTTAAGTGATTCTTGCGACAGATGGTGACAAGATGACTAAACGTCTTATCTAAAAATCTGGAAAAAAAGAAACTCAGTTTTTTAGACATTAATCATTCTGTGGGATGGTCAATTATCCGACAGTGTTAAACTATTTGGACCATTTTGCAGTTGTAACAGCAAAACTAAATTAATTGATTAATTCTTACGGCTTGTCAACTGTTGCGCGTTGTTTAAAGCCAGAAATATATTTCGATTGCAAGAACTCGTTTTGGGGGGGATATAATGATAATTTTATTGATACAAATACTGCTAATTAACCCAGCGGGGAAGATGTGGATTCATGCCTTTCCAAAGGGTATTTGCGCATAAGAGAATATATCAAACCCACCTAGAAATGGAACTCTACTCTCCCATTAACAATTCCGAGCCTATGTCCATTACACAACATTCACATCCAATATTACAGCGCTTGGTAAACCGAAGCAGTCACCCATCTAGTTTGCTTAACTTTAGTGATCGTACGGGAACCAATATTTCAACGTGATATGGCCGTCGAACAAAAAAATTAATATATTGTTTGAAATAAACATATGCATGTACAATTCGTTAAATGTTTGTCCATAATGTTCGTGTGCACTTAAAAAAATTTATAACTTTATTTGTATTTGCGATAGAAATAATCTGTAAAAAATGTTATAAAGTTTAATGTACCTAGTTTTAAGTAGAGCTAAAATAACTAATGTGATTTCAGGCATTACTGTAAATCAGTTGGCAAATATTTTTCCGTGAACTGCAAAATCGTATTACCCTTTTGTATTGCTAATGATGGAGGACATGTGGAAACTTAACTAAAATTTCAATAAAATCTTAAAAAACATAGATTTAATTCTTTCTAATCCTTTTTACAAATTATTTCTATCGCAAATACAAATAAAATTATAAATTTTTTAAAGTGCACACGAACTTTATGGACAACCTGTGTATGTGCGTATATATATATATATATATATATATATATATATATATATATATATATATATATAATTATTTATTTAAAAATATGATTCCCATTTTTTTTTTTTTAACAAATTTTTTTATATGCACAAATCCCTTTCATAAAAAAAAATAAAAAAAAAAAAAATCTCCATAGACAAGCAGACTAGGGTTAATACATCTTCCGTTTCAAATTTAGACACCCCCACCTTTTCTGACTTGACATCTATGAAAGTAACTCTATACTGATACTTATTATTAACACCCAACACACGCCTACCCAATTTAAACAATTCGCCCTAGCTGTTACCATGGAAATTTTGATTTCAATTATTAAAACACGTAAATTTCGGAAATACGTTATTAAAAAAAAAAAAAAATATAATTATTTGAATTAAATTGATTTAACTCAATTAATTCAAATAATTATATTCCATAAAAGCGAAATTTTTTTGAAACGGAAGAGACCTCTTAACCTAGTCTGGAAATTTTTATTTCATTAAATTATTAAATTTTTTATATTTATTTTTTTTATGAAATATATATATAAAAAAATATAATATAAAAAAAAAAAAAAAAACATTAAAATAGAAGATGGAACAGAGCTTGCTTTAACTCAATTTAATTCAAATAATTATATTGAAGTTTTACGGCTCTTGTTTTGAAACATGAGACCTCTTATGTCGCGAATTGGAATCATATTTTTTAAATAAATAATTATATTTATATATACTTATATATATAGCACTATTTTAAAAAAAAAAATAACTAAAATACTAAGGGACTTTGGATTATTTACCTAACCAGTTCCTTTATATTTTATATATATTATATATGAAAATATATATATATATATATATATATATATATATATATATATATATATATATATATATATTTAGTAATTTTTTTAATATCCATAAAATTAATATTCTTTGATTAATTCTTGAATTTATATATATATATATATAACAAGCTAACCAAATTCCTTTTATGGTGTCAATGTATCTCTTAACGATACATTTCCGTAAATGCACAATGCATTTAAACGTTTTTGTAAAAACACGTTCGTGTGAGAGAAAAATTTTTTTATAAAATTAAATTTTAAAAAAAAAGTTTTAAAATTTTTTTTTTTTTTTAAAAATCATTTGGGAATTAAAATTTTTTGGGGAAGATTAGATGACGTTTATTTATAAAATTTGAAACCTTCAGGAATAAATCATTCCTAAAATGCCATTATTTACTTTGAAAATTGGTTATTTGAGAATTAAGTGATGGGATAAACTTAGATTAAAAAAAATCCATTTAATATACTAGTTCAGTCTGTTATGTATAAATGATAATAATGTTGATAAAACCGAAATTATTTTTCAATAATTTTATATTTCACCGATAAGACATGAAATTTTTTTTTTTTTTAGTGAATATTTTATTATTTATTAATATATATAAAATGTTTGATTATAATGAAATCTAAAAAATTCTCGAAAATCCAAAAAAAACAAATTCGTTAAATTTAAATTAAAAATATTAAGAATATATCAATTTATAAATATATTTATTTTTATTGTATGAAATATTTTAATTTCAATTAACATAAAATTCTAAAACACAGCTAAGGAATAAATGCCATTAAAAAATATATAATTTTTTTCCGACCATTTATTATATATATTTTTTTTATAAATTATACCATAAATGACGAATTAAAAATTTATTATTATTTATTTGCATATTATTTAAAATAAAAAGAATAAATGACATATCATGAAAATTTAAATACAAACCTGATTCAGAAAGGTTTAACACCAAACTTAAATTTTTTTTTCAAGCAAAATAACAAATATATGATTAAAATATCGAATAAAAGATTAATTACGATTAAAAAAACAAAAAATTTATTTGATATTCATGAAGCTTATTTTTTTTTTTTAGCATGTAAAGCCATATTATTTATATATATTTATAAAGGACAATAAAATTTTTATTTTTTAAAAGAAACATGGATTTAAGGAGTTTTTAAATCAAAATCACATAAATTCAAAAAAAAAAAAATTCATTTTTTAAAATAAAATATCTTTTTTTTTGCAGATGATATTTAAATGATTATTTTGAAGGATTTTTATAAAAAATTAAATTCAAAATTTATAAACAATTGTTTGAAATTTTTGGAAATTTTTTCCTCATATTTGTTTTTAAATTATAAATTAAAAAATTTTCTTTATAAATACAATTTGAAAATTTGCATTATTTATAAAAATCAGATGTAAAAATGAGTTTTAAACAGTTAATTGGTTATGTAACTGTTTTATCAAAATTATAGAATTTAAAATCATTTAATATATATATTTTTTAAAATTTTTTTTGAAAAATCCATTTCGATGAAAAAATAAAATTAATTTCATTTAAAAATTTATCTCTTTGGACATTATAATTTTTTCATGAAAAATCACAACAGAATACAATATTTAAATATTTATCATGGAATTTCGGAAATATAAAGATATAAATTTTAATAAAAGAAATTAAAACAAGTAATTCAAT